TACCTCTGGGGTACTATTCAAATTAGGCTCAGATTTGCTTGAATAGTACGCGGTACTAATGTCAGCGCTGTACGGTATGATGTGTGTAAAAGAGAGTATTTTTTATGAGAGTCATCACGTGAGATTAGACGTTTTTAGGGGTAAGTTTTCGTAGTCTACTAGAACTATGCCCCATAGTAATTTTACCAGTTTGTTTAATAAACTAACGTATCTTTCGCAGGAGTGTAAAGGAACCCCTTTATACTAGAAATTTCTCTTGCATTTCGGATTATTTTGCTTCCAAAGATGGTTAACGACGTTTCGATTAGATTCAAGGGTGGTAGGTGTCATTTGAAGGGAAAAAGGAAGAAAGTTATTTTTTTTCCGCCTTTATTTCAAAACAATATGCTATTACCCAATTTGGAATGCTACAACTCAAAAAAAAAATATAGAATTCCCACCGCCATTCTTTTCGTCGGGGACTGTATGTCATTCGATGCTAAACTTCGTCTAGATGTTTTGTACATTTGTATTTTACTTAATGAATCTTTTTTGAAAAAAGATAAAAAAGCTATCATTATAGATCGCTTTCTTATTAATAAGGACTCTCCAGACCAATACTTAGAACTCTCTCCAGAAAATATCAAGAAAGCTTAAGTTTATTATTATTCAATAAATGGTATTCAAAGTTTTGCTAAAAAATGTAAGCCAAACATGAACTTTCGGAACGACAATATGCAAAAGGATTTAAACCTATTTTGTTTGTTCATATATTAAATTTCGAAATGTAAGTCGAATTTTAGTTCGAAATTTTGATCTAAGCTGATATTTATGGAATTTTCAGAATTTTATTTTATTTTTTTTTTCATCGGGGAAAGACGATATTTCAAATTCTGCCTAAATCAAGGCTTCATTGAACTGGTTCATAACTTTTTAATTACGCGGGCTTTTTTTTATTCCTTGCATTTATTTGTAATGAAAGAGATATTCCCAAACCGTCTACACTTGTCATGATATATGATAAATTTTGGTTTATTGTCAATGCAGTATTAATAAAAGTTAAAAATACCATATTTATATAAAATTGCGAAAAAATCAACCAATAAATTGTAAAAAGTATTAATGATTTCTAAAAAAAAGAGGAAAGATGACAGCAATGTTCGATGCACTACTGACGGACGCAACGCATTATACAGGTCAAAAAATGTCTAACCTCATTCTGTTTCGTAACATTTACTGAAGTATGTAAAAAAAATTAAATCGAGGTAAATAACTTTGTCGGTTTATAATCATTACCTTTACTGACAAAATCTTAAATGATAAAGAGTTTCCATTTGAAAACTGTATATTCGTCCGTTTATAGATAAACAAGTTTAGATATTCATCTTCGAATGTTGAATAAACTTTTTGAAGATTTTTTTAATATTCGAAAATCTATTTGAATTTCGAACGGAAATTCCTATTCTGTAAATAACTTTTTCCTCGAGATCATTTCTAATGTCTTTAAATGTTGATTGGAATCTGGTATTGATCCTTGAAGTCATTCTCTTATTCTTTAAAAAAGAAAGTTAAATATATTACGTTCTTTTGAATATTACTGCTTTATAAAAAAGGAATTAAAAAACAAATTTCATAAAAAAAAATTGAAAATTAATGCTGATCATTAATAATTAAAATAATATTTCGTTTATTCATAACCGTGATAAAAAGTTGATTACATTTCGTTTTAATAGATTATGTATTACAACAAAAAATTAATCCATTTAATTGTCATTCTAACCAAATAAGTCATCTTATTTGCAAAATCTTATTATAATTAACATTTTAAATAGCATTTATTATAAATTTATATAATGCGTTTTTAATTCATTTCTAACTGTCGTTTGGATCATTTATTACGTTTCTAGTCAACACGTTTTCCTATTGCTAGACAGGTATTTTCATATAGTTCACTGCAATTCCACTTTTCGTTATTTTGTAGTAATATGAATTCCTACTGTTTTTCGATTATAAATGTAATGGAAATTTGATTTTGCTTTCACAAAGTGCACAATACACGTGCCGAAATCATTCCAGATTCAAGATTTAAACTTCTTTTATATGAACAAAATATTGGTAATGTCCTTTACTTTTTTATCAAGTCAATGCAATGCGTCGAAATAATTTCACAGAAATGAAATCGCTTTCACTGTTACAAAAGAAAAAAAAAGAAAATCAAGAAATGTGAAATCAACAAAATTTGAATTTCAGGGTTTTTCCGTAATAAATCATTGAATATATTCCTATCTTATTTTTATATGCCAACAAAATTCACTTTTGTGAATTGAGCTACTCATACAACACGAGTAAATATAAGTACCCGGATCATAGAATAACAAAAACAGGACAGGTAATACCCAGTTTGTATCCGTTTTTATATTTATAAGGGTTGACCTGAATGCGATTAATTTAAATCTTTCAATTTAATAAATCGAATATTATTAAAAAATTTGAACTCCCATATTGTAAAAGTGAAGGGATAATTTTTATTTTTTATTCCTTTATTATGGTAGAGGTTACATCTATTGATTTAATTACAACAAGTGAATTAGAAAAACTTTTCTAAATTAATCGTTATATATTACCGAGATTATTTTATATAGATTGGATAATAAAATATTTTTAAACGATCATAAGATACTAAATGTTTTCTTTTTTGTTCAAATTAAGTTATGGTAAAAATATGACATTTTCATTAAGGAGTACTTTCTGTATTTCCAATTCTTTAAATAATAACATGTATCGTTGTTGAGTTGTTAAAAAACCATTATAAAATAATAAAATAATGCTGTCTCGAGTAAACGTAATTTTTCCTCACTCTTTCCTACAGAGAATTAAAAACCTTTTCTTTTTTTTTTTTTATTTTTTTTTCCGGTAATTATTTTTATATTTTTTATAAAATTTAGAGAAATTTTTACATTTACAAATACGCAAACAAATATAACATACAAAAAAAAAAAAAAATTTCAAAAGAAAAACCAATAAAAAGTAAATGTTTCTTAGTAATATCTTATTTCGTGAAAAGAGTTTTTATGACAATAAACAATTGATATGATACTTTTTTCTTCTATTTAAGAAATAAAATCTGCGTTTAATTTGTTTATGGTCCCGGTTCAGTTAGAGTATGCTGGTTTTTCTCTGAAGATCACGCTTTAGCATATATCCTTGATCTATTTTTTAAAACATTTAAATGTATAATTTTATTTTGTAAAACTAATCTTGATTATTTTTTTTATTTTTAGTTTACGATCTTTATTAAATAGGGCATATTTATATTTTCTAATGTATTAAAAAATTATTTTGTTAAAGTATTTAAATCTTGCTACTTTTTCTTTAATACGTGGAACGAATTTTTATCGTAAAAAAATTCTATTTAAATTTATAATTATTTTTATTAAAAATATAAAAAAAAATGAATCTTATGAAATTATTAATTATTTTTAGTTTTATTACATTTGTTAATACAAAAAAATTTTTCTTTAAAATTCGTAATGAAAATGAATATAAAATTTAATTTCAAAATAATAAATTTTATGTAAATGTATTGGGATAGTGGAAATGAAATTAATTTTTTGGTATCTCTGGATGGAATTATATGTAATGTTCGACAAAAGATCGTAGTCTATTTGACAAGTTCAAGAAAAATTTTAACTGGAATAAGGGACAAGAATAAAAAGCACAACTTCTTTATTAATTATAAAAAGTAATACTTTTATTGGCAAATAAATATCCGTCATTTAAGTCACAAAACCAGTTAGGTAATTAAGCAATTAGTAAACAAATAAAATACAAATCAAGAAAAAATTATAAAAATCTTGTTAAAATTAATCTAATATTATTAAAATATCGTTCCATTTTAGCCTTATTAATACATATTATTTTTTTTAAAATAAATTTGGAGTATGCAATTTTTACGTAAATAATAAATTGGGATTCATTTTTATTAAGAAACATATCTATTACATAGTTATAAATACATGCTTCGCCCCATACAGGCAACAAATTACAAAATCATGTTTAAGAAAGACATTACTAGCAATAAAACCAACGTCGTGAAGCCAAATCTAAAAAAAAAATAAAAAATAAGAAATCCAATAAGAAGTTGACAAAAAATAGACTGTGCACATTTGTTCCAAAGGAAATGTCTCAACATACCATACAAAACTTGGAATATATGTACAATAAGGTACTGATTTTATTTGAATCTACAAAATTTAAAGCCCCAAGCATTACAACAGCCGAAACCATTTGTAAGCCTTTACTGCCTGGCAGTGACCAAAAGCAAACGAGAGTAATCTCATCGAGATACTAATGGTGTGTCAGTATTGGGACAGGGCATCGCAGGAAATATCACTGAACGATAACGGGGTTTAACCGCCCACCCGGAAGGAGTAAAATATGTTGGATAAAAATAACAATAAAATATAACATTCTAGAAAAATAATTTTCACTTCTTTAGAAAGAATGAGAAAAATAAATCAATTACAATTATTATTTAAAAAAAAAACTTACCAAAAGGATACTTGATGTAGCCAGTTGTTGAATGAAGACGAGACATTTTCCAGAAATTATCGCACGATCAGAGTATTTACAAATTTGAAGCTACAAGCATTACAACAGCTGAAACCATTTGTAAGCTTTTACTGCCTGGCCAGTGACTAAAATAACAGGGTTTACCGCCCACCTGGAAGGGTATTGTTATATATAATGGTTTAAAGATATTTTAAGAAAATATAATCTAAAACAAATATATTCGTTAGAAGTAATAAAAAAATAAAAAATAAAACCCTTCATATAATGAAAACCAAAAATATATTTATCGCAAAAAGGTTGAATACTTTCGTGAGAATTTTTTTGTTCACATGTTTACCAAATTCCCACACAAAATAGTAGGAACTCGACTCATTTGTGTAAAGGTTTTGCAGATCACTAAAACTTGCCGTAATTATGATTAAAATCAAGCTTATATTTTAATAGTATAATATTATCTATCATAAAACCTAGTTTTTATTTTCTGTAAGTATTTTTATAATCTAGCGATCATGAATTTAGTTTATTAAATTAGGTATATTAAGGCGCATCTAATAGTAATATTTCATATAAAAGTGAATTTAAAATCATATGATAATAAAAGTTATGAAATAATTTAATAAACTTATTTAATTTTAATTATAATTTATATGATTTAAATATTATTTATATTAAACATTATACTTTTTATTTTACAACATAATAAAGTAAAAAAGTTTAACTGGGATCTTAATAGTTGCGAATTATTTGGAGTATATGAATGAATAATGACTATATTTTATTATGAAATTTTCTGGTTTGCTTTTTCTTTTGTTCTATGCAACTATTAACTTACGCGTTCAATTTTCTCGACAGGAGACTGCCCCTTGGAACGTAAATAATAAAATATATTGGGAGATTTCTGTGAACTGGGTTTGCCATGTCTTGGATTTTTGTCGTTTATACTTTCTATCGCGTCTAATTGCTTTAACCGAACCGGTAATTCTTTGGATCGTACATTTTTGAATATAAATGACTTTACAGTAAATTTTTGTGAACTGGATTTATATAAGGCTATTAGGAACGGTAAATGATAAATTTTTCTGTGGACTGGATTTCTATACGTTTATTATTTTATATTTAATTTTTTTTTTGTATACTTTAACTAACGTTCTAATTCATTGGATTATGTAATAATGGAAACATTAATAATTAAATGAGAGTGATAGTAACTTAACTTATATTATGTACTGGATTTAATTGATATAATATAATAATGGATCGTGTGATGATGGAGAGATGACAAGGTGATCGATAAAATTTTCTGTTGACTACTATTAATGATTTTTTATTTTAATTTTTCATATGCTTTACTAATGCGTCTAATTTGCGTTGTGAGTTACTGTATATTTATCATCAGCTGGGCCGATTCTTGATTATTTGTTGTTTTATTATTATAAACTTTACTACCGCGTCCAATGTATAGATAATCTTAGATCGAGTATAATAATCAATAACTTATGAGAGACATATGTAATAATAATAATGGATCATGAGATGGAGATACCTAGATAATTAGAAGGTGTGAATGTATAACGATAATGGTTGAAATTTCAGTGACCTGGGTTTTCTTTGTATTAGCCATTTTATGTTATATTTTTATATACATACACCTTTACGTCTAATTGCATTGATTGAACTGGATACTTCTTTGAATTGTGGAATTATGGAATGTGTATGAATGAAAGTATGATATTGAATATAATTGTCCTTGGTATTTTGTTTGGGGATTTGATTCGATATGAATAATTAAAGCTAATATGTAATTAATGTAATTTATAATTGACGAAATTTTCTGTAGATTGAGTTTGCAATATCTTTTTTTTTGTTTATTTTATTATTTTATTTTAATATTTGGATAATGCAATAGCGATACTTTGAGATGATGGTTATTGAATGACATTAAAAATTAATTACAGAAACACGATTTGATACGCAATTAGTATTTTGAACAATTTAACATTTATTTACAGTATTATCTATACAAATATAATTTCTTAAAAAAGTAAGTTACACTGTTGATTAACAGAATTAAGATTATAAGAACTACCAAAATTTCGTTGATCGAATTTATAGTACCGGCCTAAGAAAACCCGGTTAACAACAATTTCGATTTTAGTTATTATTATATTGATCGGGTTCCAATCACAGTATTAGTAATTGGAAATTATTTAAAATATTTGAAATTATTTTAAATACAAATTTTATTTTTATTTTTATTTTTATGCATATTGTACATCCGAGAATAAATTAATTTATCTATTTTCTAAAAGTTCCTTAATAAAATTTTGAATATTTTTTTCTAATTCTGCCATTTTGGTATCGATTTTTTTATCCATTAAATCTAACCTTTCATTAACAGTATTAATACTTTGTTGAAATTCTTTATATAATTCATCCACTTGTGATGATGTAGAAGGGGTATTTTTAATATTAGTATCTTGTTGTGTGACTTTGTCTGGTTCATATTTCATTAGAGAAGCTTCATCATAAATATCTTCTTTAAAATCATACTTTTTATATGATGCTTTGTTTTCATATCTTTGATAAATACATCCTCTAAAATCTTTCCTTCCTTCAGACCATTCATCGAAACTCTTTGAATGGCCTACATAAAAGATAAAAGTTGGATCCGGCTCGGTTGGCCAAAATCTAATATCTTCTAACGCTTCATAATCCGATATAAGATCCGCTCTATACCTTAATAATGCGTCTCTTCCTTTCTTTGCAGCTTCTTCATAAACACCACTAAATTAAATATAAGGATTAATTAAAATCATGCATACGTATGATACGTGAAAATATTATCATCACTTACCCCATAAATGCAATTAACATATTTTGTAATACAGTGACCAATACAAGACTTGCTATTACTGACAATAAATCGACCGCCCAAAAATCCCAAATACCTCTTTGACTCCATTCACCATTCACCCAAAAATACGCTGCTTGAATAGATGTCAACATATTTGTAAAGGGATTATCATTAGTTGAACTTGGATCAAAGTCTGATACTACATTTACACCCATTGTTTCATTTGTTGTCGCATTAATTAATGTATATCCATCAATATCTGGTGCCAAATGATTCAAATTTGGATTTTGTAGTAATAAAAAATCTATAGAAAAGTGGAATCAATTAAGATGAAATATCTGGATTGAAATACCTAAATTTTGAAAGGAATTACTGATACTTACGTGCATGTGCAAAACCCACAAAACAAATAATCATGAAAAGATAATAAGGCCAAACTAGATTTATATAAACCGCACAGTATAATATTAATAAGAATATAATTTACAATCTTAAAATTAAAAAAAAAAAACCTTACCAGTCTTAAATATAATGATAATGTAATAAATATACATAGCCATCTCTGAAATTAAAAGAAAAGATTTAATGCAAAGCTTTCATACTTCCTAATCAACTCAAGTGAAATTATTCAAACCTGATAATAATCTGAGATACAATATCTAAAGAAATGGTTATAAGTAACGAAATAATTAAAGAAAAAATTTAAAGTCATACATATATGAATTTTTTACATACCATTTCACACCAGATTAATAGCATTGTAAAAGAAATACCAACTACAACTCCGGTACTTGTTTCTACGTTACCAAAACTATCAGAAAGTTCAAAAGAACTGGCCACAAATATTGACATTACGATTGCGGGACAAATAACTGCAAATATATCAAACATATTAATTATACTCAAATAATCTCTCCATCCATGATGTAATAGTTGTAAAACTTCAACAGCTATCAGATAATATGCCAAATAGTAGAAGCATGCCATTACAAGTATTAAAAGTATTTGTAAACCTCCCGTAATATCAGAGTTTGACATATAAGCCGCACTAATTATTGCAAAACAAACTGCATATGCAAAAAATGCTGCAAATAATTGTAAAAAGTAGTTTCTTGCTGGTCTCCATCTAAAATCAATAATAGCTTCCATTGCCGGATTATCGAATATATCATTTTCATTTTCATATCTAACTACCTGAACAAATGGACTTAATAATCTTTTATCATCTCTTCCAATTATATAACCTCGAGGAATTATAAGAATTTTTAACAATCTTAATAAATTTGATTTCCAGTTATAACTTACAACTGGTTTGGGAATATTATCAACTGTGAAATTCGGTAACCTAGCAAATAATTTTAAAAGGCTTAATATAATAAGAGATTAGGTGATCAATGACATAAACCAAAAATGCAACTCACGGAACAACTCTTAAAGCTATAGGTGGAGGTTCTTGATCAACATCGAAATTATCAACAAATCCCGCATAATATCTTGGTATTTTAACCGTGACAAATTCCCAAAGTTTTTGAAGTGCTGGTTTGTTATTTTTATCAGATATTAGTTTGGTAACAGGCTTGAACGCAACAAAATCCTGAGCGCTATTTCTTCGAGGCCTTCGTTCTTCAGGAATTATCTCAGAAGTGTCAAATTCAGTTCCTAATTCCATATCAGCGAAACATTCTTTATAAAGTACTGCTTTCACATAATAATCTAAATACTCATAGAAATTATTAAGAATTGTTGAAATATGAATGAATTATCAATTCTAAGAAATTTTTTTTACCTAAATTATTTCTATACAATAATGGCAAGGCTTTTGAAATTGTAATCATCCATCCAAAATGATAAATTGCATTCTCAGAATAATATTCTAACAGATATCCAACCATAATTGCATCTTTCCTTTCTTTTCCTATTAATTGTTATCATTAATAGTTTTGAATAAAATTCTTTATAAAAAAAAATATATACGAACATAATAAAAAAGAATACCTTTGCAATATTCGATTGCACATTCCAAGTCTGTACTAGGAATCTCTACCTGTTTTTCCTTTTTGACAATGGGCTCATCTTTTGGCATATAAAGTCCAAAAGTCAATACATTTAATAGACATATTAAAGGATAAATTAATGCCTCTAAGATCTGAAAAAGTCCAAGATGGTACTCTTTTGACCTTTTTTTAATATTGGAACATCATTCATCCAGTTTTTTGTTCTTGGTATATGTAATGTTAATTTGTTATTAAAAAGTTTGTTTTTCTTTTTATCTGCTTCAATTTTTTTCAATTGCTTCTTATCTTTTATAATTAAGTCGTTATCTTCACCAAAAAGTATAAACTTAATCAAATAACAAGCGCCACCGCGAATTAAATTAGCCATCACATTAAATCGAATATCCATTAGTCTCCAGACCTCTGGCCTCTTTTTAATAAACCTCCAAATGATGCGATTTGTACCTTCAACTAGTTCCTCATATTGATCTAAAAAATAATAAAAAGGAATATAATTTTGATCCAAAAATATTAAGACTTCCAAAAAAGATTATTATATACTAAATAAACAATTACACTGCTTCTTTATATCAATTAACTTTCCCTTTCGAATATGTAAATGTTCGAGTGCTTCACAAGCATGCCTCACAGCAGATACTTGGCCGTCTGGATATGGCCAGCGAATATGTCTCATTTCTAGCTCTTTCCCAACATTCCATATGAGGGTAAGTGAAAACGCGCAATCTCCTATCCATAATTCTTGAATACGTAATGCTGATTCGTCACAATCATACTCCAATGAAATGCCATTTGTCCAAATATATTCAAGGATAGTTTCTGATCTTAATGTAGATGCAGATTTTACTTTTTTATCTTTTTTGTCCATCTTTGATGTTTTGCGCCAAATTTGAACTGTACTATGTCCTATAATAAGTTGTAATGTCTCTTGATCATCCAAATATATTGACCGTCTATAATAATTATCAGAATCCACCCAAGGTTCTGTATTTTCAATAATCGGCTTGTGATAAGACTTAACTGGAATTTGACGTCGAAAGATTTGATGTAATTTTGAGTGCTTTTCTTGCTTAGAATATTGCATCGGCATTTTTTCGGCTTGGTTCCAAGTTACCTCTCGAGATTTAAATAACGTACAACCAAAAGATTGTGTTAAATCCTTCTCTACTCCTGTTATATGATTTAAGAAATCTTCATGGTGCAGGATTGAATATACAGTTCCGTCATTATTCATTCTTAAAAGTTGCCCAGGTACTTTGGCTAAATGTGAATAAAAGTCTTTTCGTGTGGGAAATAAATCATTACATGATCCTATACGAATTGCATCTTCCGCTGAACTAAACAAGTCCCAAATTATAATTTTTGTAACTTTTGTTATCTTTTCCGTGGGTTTCTTGCTTTTAATTTCATTCTTTGGATCTTTATCTAAAGATGGTATCTCCTCGTCACTATTTTTTTCATGTTTTCCTTTTCCTTTTGAATGTTTTTCATCTTTCTTAGTTTCGCCTTCGCCTATAGAAACTTTCTCATAAATTTCTTCCTCAATAACTAGTAGCATCCTTTCATCATCATCGATAAATTCTATAAATGTAATTTTACTGTCAGCTCCAAATTTCTTTACTCCAACTTCAAGACCATTTTCAATATAGCTATCGTTTTAAAATTTATTAGTTAACCAAAAAAATTATAAATTGGTCAAGAAGAGTATGAAATCTATATCTTACTTGATGTTGACAGAATTCAACCCTTTGGAAAATGCGAGAAGTTGACGATTATTTGAAATTGCGTAAACCGAAGTGATATTCAGATTTTTTAAATTATGAGATCCAGAATCTTCATATCTAGAAAATATTTGTTCTTGTTCCATTGCCATCAAATTTATTAATTCACATGTTTGAACTCCATCCTTGTATTGTTCGATTAGAAAATAATGATTATAAATACATGAAAGTAGTCTTTCCATGCAATTCTTTGATTTATACCATGTTTGCAATTCTTTATCGAACCTTTTGGGAAATGAAAACTTTTCTGTGGTTTGATAGCCAATGTAATTAAACAAAATATCATTACTTCTTTGACTATATGGGATCTTAAAAATTCCCTCAGCATTAATAATCAAGCAACTTGTTTTCATAAGTATATCGGTATATTGGTTCTCTTCATTCTCTATACAATCATCTTGAAAATGATGATTAGTTTGATCGCTTTGAACAAATAGAACGATGCCAGCAATATTCTCTTCGGTATATTCTGAAAGTGTGCAGGGTTGTTGTATTAAATTAGGATTTGACTTGTTAAATGTAATACGAAACACCGCAGTTTTTCCTTTAGTTATGGTTTCGTCGGCGGAATCCTGTATATCCTCAACGACAGTTGGTATATTTATCCTTATATTATCTGTTCCGGATTTGTTCTCATACTCCGCCGCGGAAAAGTCCATACTATTTGATAACGATTTGAGCTTTGGTAAAGGAACCCCATGTTCTCTTTTTATCATATCACTCTCAACTATAGCGGAAATCGCTATAAACATCACAAGTTCACCATTATGTTCCATGAGATTTGAAATCGCAATTGACCAAGTAGGAAATGTTCTGTGATCACTTTTATCTTGTTGATTCGTTGTTTCTGTGGAAAGGTTACTTAATTTTTTTTTTAAATTCACCACTTGTAAATATTCCTTGAATACACTTTGGTTTATTTCGTACGATTTAGAATCTCGGTGGGAATCATGATTTAAATTTGGAATATTTACAAATTTTTTATTGGTGATTACTTCATTATTTCGAACTAGATAATGCCTCGTATCGCATTTAAAAATCTTGAATTCGAGCTTTTCTAAAACATAATTCGAAAGTTTTTTTTTTATTCATATTCCGAGTAGAAAAAAAAAAAATTTTTTTATTTTAATAACTTACTGCAATTAAATGTGGCTACGTATTGACCATCCGGACTAATGGCAATATTGGAAGCGAATCTTTCCTTGGGATTATCGACCGTATCGGGAATGCGTTCGATAATAGGTTGTTGAGATGGTCGCCTACCAATTAACAAATTTCCCAAAGTTGACGTTATGGAACTGAAAGTGGATTTCTCTTCTCCATTCGAACGTTTAGAATAAATTGAATTATTTGAGTCAAAGGACAATTGTTTGTTTTTGTTTTTGTTTTTGTAATCTTCATTATTATCCACAGCATTAGACAAGTTTTCTGCAGTTAAATAATTACTATCATATAATTGGGCTCTGCTAATTAATACTTCGGAAATTGTTTCATCGGACATGACTCTTATTTTTATATATATATATATATTTTCCTCCCAGTTAATTAAATTAATTAAAGAGAAAGAACAAATTATGTAAGAAAAAAATTTATATAACGTTCGAGGTTATTATATTTTATTTATATGAATTTGTGGTCCAAATAATGAAACTTTTTTTTCATATTCCTTATTCGCCAATTTAGAAAGTATGTGTAACACTTCATGCAATGAAAGATGCAAAATATCAGTTCTAACCATACCAATGTGCCCTGAAATGGAAGGAAACCTTGTTAAAGTTGTCATACCTTTGACACGAAATTCCCGCTTTGGGAATAATATAAAATATATTTATAATTCCTAAATCATTCTATCTTTAACAATGTCCAAAAAAATTTATTCGCTGATCCTATTAGCACAAACAAACAAATATTATCCCAAGAATAAGGATGTATCCAAATTACGGAAAAGGCGCAAAGTGAATAATCTCATCGATTAATGCACTGCTTGCAAGGTTAAAAAACGTTTCCCGAAACAACATTCACACGAGGCATTAATGATATTGCTAGACATCAAATTAATGACGAATTAGGAAAATCAAGAGGGTTTATTAATAATTACTTTACAGAATGCATAAAAGTGTACGAGTCTTTAAGTAAATAAATAATTAATTAATCCATAAATAAAAGTAAGTTGAATGTTGTTTTTGTATTTTTGTGAAATGAACTTGATAGAACTTGAACCGGTTAACGTTTGTGCTACAGAAAATAAAACTCAAAACAAAAAATTTTCATTCTAGTTATTTGGGCTGATTTTTCGGGTTCAACCAGTTTCGCCAATTTTGATCTACAAAAGCATTACCCAATCGGTTTCGGCAAAAACTAGCGATCGAAACAAACACAAAGAAAATAGATTTTTTTTTTTGAATGGGACAATGATTGTGCAGCACAAGATTAAACAAAGTTTGGGCGTTTGGTAAAACAGGGGCATACCTAATGGTACAAAGATTCTATTTACAATCGCTCAATTAGTGTCGGTAAATAAGAAATCATATGTTACCCGAACATTGTGACACTTTACAAATTGGAAAGTATCACGTGATTAAAGGTTATTTTCTTTTACAACAAATATTAAAAATTTTTTTTTTTTTTTTGGTAATTTTGATATCTGATTATTAGCTAAGGTCTAACGTCACGTGAACAAAATATTAATTATTGAAAAAAAGAATTTCGCAAGTATTAGCAAGGACATTGTAAACATCGAGCTTATTTCTTCGTTCAAATCCAATCAAATAAAAATGATTGTATTTAAAATACTTAAATTATGATGACAATGTTTATGCGTTCAGTCATGAAGGGAAATTATTATTATTATATCAAATTCTTCTCTTTGAATACTTAATCAAGAATTGATACTCGACAAAGTAAATATCAATACTGGATATTTGAGCATTACTAAAAAATCTGTTCATTTGATAAATTTATTTAAAAGAATGAATGGAACGGACCACTGCATAATGTTAAATTCACGAAATCTTATGGGTCGTTGCTATTAAAAATCAAAGTTACAAACTGAATAGCTTGTAAATCATTTATTATTTTCACCCTAATACAAAAAAAAAAATACCTAGGTACCCTAAATACATAATGAAGATTTTAGACAGAAATGTTTTGAAAAGTCTTTGCCAATGATTTTCACATAGTCCCTCAAGTATTTTGAAATTCCCCAACAAATTTTTAACTTGTTCTCATGAAATTCATTTCATATCGTATTCCTTGAGCGACATGAGCTTTTAAATTCTAGTTTAAGAGTATGCTTCAAATAAGTTTAAGGTAACTGTTACCGTTATACCAATTTGGCCCAATTTGAAGATTGGTAAATTATAAAGTCACAAAATTTCGATTGCTTAATCTTACATTATAGGATAATCATATGTGAATATACATATTAATAAATATCAGTGGCAAAAAAATTAAAGGTATAGGAGTAAAATCTGGGTTTAGCATTTTATCTTTTTTTTTTAAAAAAAAAAAAATACATGAAAGAATAAATATTATTTATGTTTAAATAATTATTTTCAGAATCTGATTTTCCTAGCAATCTTAAAAAATTTATATATTTCATATTAATAATATATTGAAAAATTCTAAAACATAATCATTTCAATATCTAAAGCCAAATTAAAAAAAAAGACTTGACTTTTAAAATTTATAATTATATAATACATTATAAGCTCAAAAAGTTTGAATAGGTTAATATTTTTTTAAAAAAGATTTTTTAATCCTAAATGAAGAATTATTATTTATCTTAAATATGAATGATATATTTATAACTGAAAGTAAGTTAGTTTTATTTAAATAATACTTTAGATATATAATATACTATTTATATGTTTTTCATTATATATAACTAGTTATTTCTATAATAAAACATCTATTTAAAATTCATATTTTGATAATAATTAGTGTTAAAGATAAAGTTTAAATTTATTTATTTTTAAAAATTTAAATCATTATTTATACTAAAATATTATTTATATTTTAAATATATATTATATAGTTATTATTAAATCTTCTAAGAAAATAAATATTTTGTAAAAATTTTAGCAAAATTTGAAAGAATATATTTTAAAATAAGGTTCTATTTAATTTTATTAAACATATTAAGAATTAAGTTGTAAAACAAATTACTTACAATATGAGGCCTTTGCAATAGAAAGGGAGGAAACTCAAAAAAAAATAAAAAATGAGTTAATAATAAATCTGAACAAATTATAGTATTTAGAACATTTTTGGTTTATAAACTAAAAGTTTAATTTTTTTGGAATTTCCTCCCTTTCTATTGCAAAGATCCCATATATTCTTAATATTTTAAAAATAGAATATTTTAATGTTTACTATATTATTTTAGTATATAAAAGTATATTAAAATAAATTAAAGAATATTTAATTAAAAAGTCTTTATTAGTATTAATCTTATAAATAATAAAGTATATTTATAATAAAGTTTATATACATCTTTTATTTAATTTAAATATTTATTTATTAATTAAATAAAATTTTATTTTATTAATATAAAATTATTTAACAAATATAATACTAATAAAATTAATTTATATTAAATAAAATAAATAGCAATTAAAGATAGATATTGCAATTAAAAAAATAATGCAATTGAATTGCAATTTATGGTATAATTAAATTTACTTATAACACAATTAAATTATAATTCAATTAAAATTATAAATAATTATAATAAACATTTTTAATAAAAATTAAACTTATTTTAATTATTTATATTTCTTTTTAATAATATTATATATAATTTTATAATTAATTTAATAAATTTTATAATTTTTATAAAAGTTAAAATATAAAAAATTATAATAATTTTTAAATAAAAATTAATTTATTTATATTTTTATAATTTTTTTTATAATATTCAAAAACTTTTAAAATATAGATAAGATTTATTATATAAAAAGTATTAATAAAATCTAAAAATTTTGTTTAATTTTAGTTTTTAAATTAGTTTTAAATATATATTATATAAAAATAAGTTTATGTGATTTTTCTAAAAATAAAAAAATTTATTATTAATATAAACTTTTTGATAAGTAGTTACTAAAAAATTTTTTATATTTTAATAACTGAAAATTTATTATTTTTAGTAACAATTTTTTTTAAACTTTATTATTATGATTATTAAGTTATAAGTTAACTATTTTATTATTTACTTAAAGATTTTATAAAAAAAATAAATACTATTATAAATATATACATGAAGCAAAACTTTCAAATATTACTAAAATAATCAAGTTTATTATATTCAATATTTTATAATATTTAAAAAATTAATAATATAAACTTATTTTTATCTAATATATAATTATAATTATATATATGTGATATTATCATCTTTCTTTTATCATCCATATTATATTTTTTCCTTTTTATTTTTATTTATATATTCTGAAAACTTAGAAATATTTAGTTATAAAAATTCTATAATTCATATATCACATTAAATATCACATATTTTAATTTTAATTTAACATTATATAATTTTATCTAAAAGTGATAAATTATATATATAATAAATAAATTTATTTTAAATTATATTATAAATATAATAATAAATTTATAAATTTAAAATAAAATTTTAATTATAATTAAAATTATTATAGAATATAATTTTTTTAATAATTATATTATTTATTTATTTTTATTAATTATAAATATATTTTAAATTTTAAAAATTATAATATTTTTTATTTATAATATTTTTTTACTATTCAAATCTAAATTTATAATCTAAATTAATTGATAGAATAAAAAAAAAATTATATTGTAATTTATTGTATTTATTTAAATAAAATATATAAATTTTTATTGTTTAACTTTTTAATCAATATAAAAGTTTAATTAATTAGTTAAGTAATTTCTATTTTGTAAGTTTTTAAATTTAATTTTTTAATCATTTTTTATTACTTATTAAGAATTTTTAAAAATAAATTTCATCTTTATTATTTTCAGAAATTAAATAGAGTTTGAAATACTTTATATATATATAAATAATATAAAATTTATTTTTTTTTAACTAATTTAGTATCTATTTTTAATAAAATTATTATTAATATACTTTAATTATTGATATAATTTTAAAATATTATCTATTCAAATTTTCTAAAATACTGTTAATTTAAATCCTAAAAGATCTTCTTCCAATTTATCTCAAATTCTTGGGATATTTATATTAAAATATTTATAATACTTAAGCTAACTATAATAATTGATATAGCTATGATATAGTTGACTACTATTGAACTATTTACTGTCTATAGTCATCCATATGTATTCATCATCTGTATTTCTATTATTTTTACAGTACTTCTATTTCCTTTAGTCTTCAGTTTTCCATATTTTAAATATAATTAATTACAAGTATTTAGCTAATTATATCATTAAGCTAATTATATAATTTATCTATTCTAACTATATTTGTTCAACAAATATCTACTGTAC